TGAGCTTACCTACATGCATACATAGATACATACATACATATGTAAGTATATATAGATGCACACACATACATAAAAGCTGGAAAAATGCAAGGAAAAGAAATATAGCAGTGATTTTATCCAATAAAGGGACTAGGCTATGTGTGGCTTCTGAGGGAAAGGGGCAGCTTCCACTTTTCTGGTTACACCCTTCTATACCACTTGAATGTTTTTTTTAAAACCAAGACCAAGCAAGAAGAAGATCTTCTGGGATCCCTGGGTGGCGCAGCGGTTTGGCGCCTGCCTTTGGCCCAGGGCGCGATCCTGGAGACCCGGGATCGAATCCCACGTCAGGCTCCCGGTGCATGGAGCCTGCTTCTCCCTCTGCCTGTGTCTCTGCCTCTCTCTCTCTCTGTGTGACTATCATTAAAAAAAAAAAAAAAAAAAAAAAAAAAGAAGAAGAAGATCTGCTAAACCAAATTATTTACAAGATCTAATCTAAGTCCACACTATCTTCCTGAGGCAGGAAAAGAATACAGCTGTGGAGATAGAGTAGTATATCCACTTACTACAAGTTCTATAACAATACTTAGAATAGTATATTTGTAGGGAATTTTACAGATTATGTACTGCTTCTACACGTTTATCATTTGAGCCTTTAGGAACCCTCCGCAGTGATGGTCATTTGTAATTTTATGAAGCTAAGGTTTGTTACAGGACTTCTCACTAAAAATAATACAAGATTTTTAGAAGATACTAATTTCTAATATCAAGTCATTATTATTTCTATATAACACCTCAACTATATACCATAATAGAACCATATAAAATCTGGCTCTTAAAAAGTAGTTCTTAATGATCATGGGTTCACAGATCTTTCTGAGAATGAGACAAGAATTACAAATGGCCTTCTCAGAGATGAAAAAATATACATTTACATACACATTTAATTGATTCAAGAATCTCTTCTGATGATCTGTACACTGCTGGGGTTCACTGGAGATACCCGCACCCTAGGATACACCTAAAGCTACCGATTCCTACCCTACCTGAGTGGCCTAAAGCAGACCGTCAGGTTACACCTATTTTTTTAGTCTATTTGCTTCTGGAACTTTGCTGAGCCATACCAACTAGATTAGAACTACATATCTCTAATTTAAAAATTTGTACCTAAAATTCCTCTAGTTATCATTTTGAGAGAAAGTCTGATGAAATGTTATAGGAGTTTTAGGAAATGAATCACAGAGCAAACACCTTATTTCCTTAAATCCTAAAGTAAGATTTTAAAATATACCAAGATTTAATAAACTTTTCACAGAAAGGAAAAATCACTACACTGATTCTCCTTTCCTTTATTCAAATTACAAATTAGGAAAAAATTAACTGGTTTACTGCTTCTTCACAGAAGCTTTAGCAAAAAAAAAAAAAAAAAACAAAACTTGAGTTTGGCAATCTATTCCCAAAATGCTTGTTAGAAGGAAAAAAAGGTAGATGTTCTAACAGTTTCCATGAAATAAATCTTTATTCTAGACTCCGCAAGACAGGTTTTATAAAAATAGTATCATTTCTCAAGTCCGCTGAATTATTTATAAATGATCAGTTTCTAAAACCATTGTATGCTAGAATTATTCATAATTCTCAGCTAATCCAACATTCTTACTTTATATCTGATTAAATTTACATCTGGAGATTATCAATGGTTACTCAAAATCCAGTAATTAACTGGAAGCCACACTCCTGGGCTCAAACCCAGTTGCCCTTTCTCTACCCTGCTTTTTCTGATTGGGGTTGCATCTAATTACAGTAAGATAAAAAGAATCCTAACAATAACAACACTTGCCAGATACTGAGTTCCCATGTAGTACGAGGAGTAAGTACATTTATCGTTAATCCTGACAACAATCCAGAAAAGGAGGTATTACTACTCCTTACACTTTTTTAAAAGATTTTTAAAATTAATTTTTATTGATTTTAATCTAAAGTTTAATTTTTTAATCATTAAAAAATTTTTAAAGAATTTTTTAATCTTTAGAGATTAAAATTTTAAAAAGGCTGAACAGAGTCAAGCATTTTGTCCCAGTTACATCTGCTGGGATTTAGACACTGACCCCCTGCTGTGTCTGGAGCATGCACTCATACTTCAGAGGCTTTGTACTTGCAAATTCGTGTTCTAGAACACTTTTACTTCACATACCTAAGGATCACTTTACTTCTTTCAAGTTTCTGCTCAAATGGCACCTTATCAGAGTCCTTCCTTCATCAGCTTAAAATATACCCTCATATCTCTCTCTTCCACTACTTTATCTTCTCCACAGCATTGTCTGCAACTTGAAAAATTACATGTTTATCTGTTTACTGTCTTTCTCCAACAGAAAGTATACTGTATAAGGACAAGAACTTTGAAGGACTCATGTCCTATTACATACCTGTAATGCCTAAATGTTACATTGAAGACATGTAAAATGTGCCATTTAACCATTTTTAAGTACATAACTCAGTGGTATTAATTAAAATCACAGTATGTGCAACCATCACTACTACTGTCGAAATCTTTTCTTTACCCCAAGTAGAAATTCCTTAACCATTAAGCAAAAACTCCCTATTTCCTCCCACCAACTCCAGCCCTTGGTAACCTCTAATCTACTTGTGGTCTCCATGAATTTGTCTGTTCCACATATTCACAGAGGTGGAATCATACAATAGTTGTCGTTTTGTGTTTGGCTTCTTTCACTTAGTATAACATTTCCATGGTTCATCCATGATATAGCATGTATCAGAACTTCATTTCTTTTTTATGGCTGAATAATATTCCATTATAGGAGTATATCACATTCTTTATCCATTCATCTACTAACGGACACTTGGGTTGTTGCCACCTTTTGACTGTTATAAATGAAGTAGTCCCCCTCATTCACGGCTTTGCTTTCCGGTTTCAGTTCTCCACTGTCAACTGTGGGCCAGAAGCAGATGATCCTCCTGATGTACTGTCAGAGGGTCAATAGTAGCCTAACTCTACATCACAGTGCCTAAGCCATTCACCTCATTTTATCTCATCATGTATGCATTTTATCATTTCACATCATCAAAAGAAGAGTGAGTGCTATACAGTATTTTGAAAGAGAAAATGCATTCATATTAATTACAGTATATTGCTATAAATGTTCTAAAGATTGTTGTCAATCTCCTACTGTGCCCAATTCATAAACTATATTTTATTATAAGCACATATGTAGAGGAAAAAACAGTGTATATAGGGTTCAGTACTATCTATGTTTTCAGGATTCCAGTGGGGGTCCTGGAACCTGTTCCCACATATAAAAAGGGGAACTACTATAATGCTGCAATGAACACTGGTATAATAATATCTGTTTAAGTGCTTGTTTCCAATTATTTTGTCTATATACCTAGTGGTGGGTTGCTGGGTCATTACCACGATTCTATAAAGAAATGCCAAACTGTTTTCCACAGTGGCTGTATCATTTTACACTGAGTGGACGTGGCACCTTTGTCAAAAATCAATTGCCCATAGATAAATGGGTTTATTTCTTGACCCTTAATTCTATTCTGTTGGTATTCATGTCTATCCTTGTAACAGAACAGTTCCACACCACTGATTACAGTATCTTTGTGGTGAGTTTTGAAATCATAAAGTGTGAGTCCTGTGACTGTTATCCTTTTCCTAGATTGTTTTCCTAGATTGTTCAGGGCCCCTTGAAACTCTTATGTGAATTTGAGGGTCAACTATTCCATTTCTAAAAATTGATAGAATTTTGACAGGCATTGCACTGAATCTATAGATCACTTTGGTTGATACTGATAGCTTAACAATACTGTCTTACTACCCAAGAACATGGATGCCTTTCCATTTATTTAGGTCTTAATTTCTTTTAACTTTCAGTGTAGAAATCTTTTACCTCATTGGTTACATATATTCTTAGGATTATTATTCCTTCAGATGCTAACACATATTAAAAACTGTTTTCAGTTTCCTTTCCAGATCACTCATTGTGGGTTTTATAGTAACAACAGATTTTTATGTGTCCATTTTGTATGCTGCATGTTGCTGAATTCATTTATTAATTCTAGTAGCTTTCTTTTGATTTTTGGGATTTTCAGATACAGAATCATGTCATCTGAGGATAGAGATAGTCATTCTCCTTTATAATTAGGCATTTTTTATTTCATTTTCTTATTTAACTACGCTGGTTAGAACTTTCAGTAGAATGTTGAAAAGCAGTGGTAAAGTAAGCATCTTTGTCTTGCTCCTAATCTCGGGGAGAAGCTTTCAGTCTTTCACCACTGAGTCTGATGTTACCTGTGGGTTTCCCATAATTGCCCTATATTGTGTTGAGCAAGTTCCCTTCTATCTATTCCTAGTTTCTCGAGTGTTTTGATTACAAGAGTATAGGATTTTATCAAGTGCCTTTTGTGTATCAATTAAGAGGGCCACCTTTTTTTTTCCTTTTTCTATTAATGAGATATATAACAACGATTGATTTTTTTTTTTTTTTTAATGCTGAACCAAACTATCCCAAACTCGGATAAATCTCACTTGGTCATAGTGTCTGCTCCTTTTAATATGCTATTGGGTTCATTTTGGTAGTATTTCGTTGGATTTAACAGGCATGCATTTTGAAACAATTATCAGAAAATAATACAAAAATAGTTATAGCCTATATTATTTTTAGTAAGAATTATTTTAATTAAGTGAGGAGAAAATATACATACCTTTAAGACTTTCTGTTAAATACTAAGCATTAAAATGATGTGAGGGGAAAAATTGTCCCTTTCTATGTCAGTGATAAGTTTTACAACCTCTTAGGAATGTTGCAATTTTAAACCTGTAGCTTAAGTATCCTTTTTACATAGCTGTAAATATATAATGAATCTGTAAAAAAAAACCCAAAAAAAAAAACCAAAAAGCAAACAAAAAACAAACCAAACAAAAAAAGATCTATAGGATGAATATAGCATCTATAATTTTAAATATACTCCTAAAACAAAGTAACATGAAAATAATTTACCCCTTCATAGAAAACTTTTGCACAGTCCTTTGCTAATTTTCCAAAAAATAGTACATTGACAGTGTTGGTGTCTGAATTTGAATTTTCTTGTTCTAGGAGAAAAAACACACATACAGAAAAACACTAATTAGATTCAGTTTAAGACACACAAAAGCATTGATGACAATACATTCTAACTATAGTTACTTCAAAATGTAATTATGAAGAATAATTAAAATTTTTATTATAGTTCACTTTTAGTTTAATGTCTTAAGTATTGCAAAGATAATGCAATTATCTATTAGGTACTAAAACCAAAATTTTAACAAGCTTCAACTAGAATATATTGTATAAATTTCTATAAATATCACATTAACAGCACAAAATAACCATGTCTATTTATTTTCTGTGTTTATAATCAAAAGAAGTTGCATAATTATTGAATTTTTACACTATATATCACTTCCAAAGTAGTTCACCATTACTGAACTTCTAGTAATGTATAGCATTCATACATTGTTTTAATGTATGTAAGTGGGATTTTTCTGCTCCAACATGCACAAATTGAAGAGTAAAAGAACAGAGTGTGTGTAAAGACCAAACTACCTATGATTTTGAAAATGAAATTTAATTGGAGGGGGAAAAAATAAGGTCCACAATCTTCACTCTCTAGAGGTCACCTACTATAACCAATGCAGCAGGGCCAAATGCTAAGAATTATATCATCTGAAGAAAGCCTCAATCGTATCAGCTTTCAAATATTCAACTACTCCAAGAAACTGCCATTATATCAGATTTTTATGCATCTATAGAGTATATGAAAGATCTTTCCCAACTGACAATCTTTTTTGTGTGACTTAGAACTCTTGAATCTGCTACTGTCAGGTCAGGTGGTACTCAGCAGTGAAACAACTACCACATAACTGCCAACTGCCTCCTTTCATTTATCTCTTCAATTACTCAAAACAAGTATATACATAAAATGAAACATTAATGTTTCTCAAATCAAAAACATAGTAGTTTCTAATCAAAATATAACACACTGTTAATTTCTTAAATGATCTATCAGAAATCTATGTCTGGCCGTGATGGACTATTACAGACTAGGTTTATTCTCCAGTCTTAAAATGACTAGAAAACTAAGAAAAAAATATATGAAACAACAGTTGTCAGATATCAGACCACAGGAAGTGCAAGAAAGTGATCTCTCTGAGAAGGAAAACAAGGCAATACCCCTAGCTTACTTCCTGGAGCTCTTCTAGGCAGCAAAAAATGGAGCTAAAATCCAAACAAAACTCAGCAGCCTTCACTGAATTCAGAAGAGTTCAGATATGAGGATATTGGTATCCTAGAATTTGGTGGCTAGAATTTGCAGGGCAGAGTGCCAAAAGGAGGACAGTAGTACAGGGCAGTAGCACAGGGAGTGCTCTGGTGATCTGAAGATGGGTGCCTTCAGGTCTTTGGCTGAATGGTGATCTCCAAGTGTACAGAAGTCAAGTACCTCATGAAGATAAAGAACCACTTGAAAGGAATAGGCAAAACAATTCTGAAACGCACACAGGGCTAGGAATTGTTCTGGTTCCAACCAGACAGAATGGAATCCTCACACACAAGCCTCAAGAGTACAACTATCAGAAAGGTATTTCCTCAGTGAGAAGGCCAAACTAGCCTGAAAATAAAGGCTGTTCTATACCCATCCCAACAACACTCGTCAAACTGATTTCAAGAAAATTAAATGTATCCCCAAATAAAGACAAATAATATTTAAAGAATGGATAATAAATAAATCCAACATTTGCTAATATAAAACTATAAATGTTTGGTATCCAGTAAAAAAATTACCAGGAATGAACACAATGAGAAGAAATGGAAGACACTAAAAAAATCTCAAAATGAACTTTCAGAGTTGAAAAATATAATATTAGAAGTTATAAAATAATATGTTATAAAAATATATATTAGAATAGTACATCAAATATACATCAAATAACATAATAAAAATGTTACAGAAAACTGAAAAATAGAGAAGAATCAGTGAAAAGAAAAGCTGATTTTAAAGATCAATAAAATAAGTAGCCAGAATGATCAGGAGAAATGAGGCAGAGAATAGCCACAAATTATTAAATCAATGAAACAGGACATCCCTATAGATCCTACCAACATTAAAAGTATATCAAAGATATATTATGAGTAACTTTTTGCCAATATATTTGACAACTAAGATGAAATAAATTCCTTTGGAAACACAAACTGAAGCTTACTCAAGGAAAGAGATAAAAAAAAGAAAAGCTCTATAACAAATGAAGACATTGAACTTAGGGTTTGAAACTTTGGAACTTTCCCATAAAGAAATCCAGGCACAGTTGGCTTCACTGATGAATTCTACAAACATTTCATGAAGAAATAAAAGCAACTGTAGATAAACTTTTCCAGAAAACAGAAGAGAAGGAGGCACTTAACACCTCTTTTCAGGAGGACAGCATTAGATACCAAAATCACTCAAAATCATTACAAAAAAAGAAAGATGGGAACAACATTCTTCATAAATCTTAGATGTAAGAATCCTTAATCAAATATTTGTAAATCAAACCTAACAATATATCAAAAGGATGATTCGTCAGGCCTACTACCTTATCATGCTTTATTTTTCTTCAGATCACATTTCTACCTAATGTTACTTACAAATTACTTACTGAATTTATTTACCCCCCTAAAATGTAAACTTCATGAAGTCAGGGGCTTTGTTTTGGTCACTGCTATATCTCTCATACCTAATGGTGTCTAATATGTAACCGGTTTTCAGTAGTTACAGAATGTTGTATTCAAAGTCTATTTCCCATTCACTGCTGCAGGCCATTCTTCAATCCAATTTCAAGCTTCCGATGAGATCTATTTTGGTCCTCAAATACATCATGGTAGCTCTTCCTAGCTTACCAGGATAATTTGAGGGTTACTAGGAAGAAGGAATAATCTCATATAACTATACCTAGGTAACAAATAACATGCTGAAAGGAATGCTTTAATAAAGTTAAGTTTGCTAAGCTGTTTAGGTCACACTAGTGTAACTAGAAGTAGGGGGATCAGTTACCTATTATGAGAGTCTAGATGTGATATTAAAGGAATCTGAAGTAAAATAAAAGAAATGAGTGAGGGAGGAAAAGCATAGATGGTGTGGGAAAATTTAGTAAAAAAATTTATTTCATTCTGTAGTTTTTTACACTATGGTGTGTGTATTACCCACCAGAAATCATTTTTGTGCTTATGGGTACATATAAAGTTATCCATCTGTAGATTATAAGCAAAAGGTGAAGCAGAAATGGTCTTATTATATTGTATACCTTGTAGTGCAATCTTCAAAACAGCTGTTCTGTTTCCACCATAAGTTAAAGAAGAAATAAGTGAAAGTTTTCCCTAAAATGAGAGAAAAATGGTTATACAGAAAACCCAAAAGAGCTTCTCACAAGACCAAGAGATAAGTTAAAATTGGAATAACTATTTTAAAATCAATAAACTTTGATTAGTACTGTGTTCAAGTCACCATATTTAAGACACGAAAGTAATTTTACTGAAGAAATTTCAGAACACCTAATTATATAAATTCATAATTTAATTTTTAAACAATCATTAAATATTACCCAATTCCTCATTTTACAGATAAAGATGAGCTGGCTCAACTTCAGTTTCATTTTAACCTATAAAGTTCTCCACTAAAGAAAAATGAAGAGTTTGCTCCTAGAAGAAACAACTGCTAATTTAAAGAATAATTAAAAAACACAAAGTGGTAATCTCATAAATAAGGGCAGTGGAGACAAAGAAATGAACTACAGCATACATAAAGTCTTGTCCTCATTCTTCTGTAACTAACCAGGCTCTATCAACTTAAAAAAGCTATTTAATCAGAGTCTCTCAGATAAAAATGAAGTATTTAATTTAGGTAGTTTCTACAATTTTTGCTGGTGCTAAAATTTAATAATCCTATGAATAAGTACATTATAGGTCTCTTTGAAAACTCCACATAGAAATAAAATGTACTTAATAAAATTTAAACATGGATCTGTAATACACATCTTCCACACTAATATTCCAGACTTTGATATAGCCAACAATAACAAAAAGCTATGTTTATATACCAATTTTACTTTTAAGATAGGAATAAAAAAATAAGGCTATCAGTCGTGCATGATTCCATCAAAAGTAAATAGTTTTGCTTAGGAGGTAGAAAGCTGGAAAGAACAAAAGGTTGGTCAATGTACACATTTCAACCTTTTCTTTTTCTTTTTTTTTGACCTTCCAGAGAATTGAAGTCAGAAGATAACCAACTAACCAGAAATCTAGGAAAAGAGAAGCACCTCCAGTAAGAGAGGGACAACAGTGAGATGAGGTCTCTCAGAAATACAAAGAAAAGGAAGATCTTTTACAAAGAGATGGGGAGTAAGTACTTGCTTACCTAATGTAAATTGCAAATGCTGCCTGACATCTGTCAGAAAATTCATCTAACATTTTTAATGAGTTACTAAAGGTCAACTGTAGGCTAGAAGACAGGGAACTTGTGGGAACTGCAAACACAAATGGAATTCACACCTACTTACAAGCTCTTCTCCAAAAAGCTGACAAAGTTCAGGCCAGGAATGAGGGCAAAGGTAGTAGCAGTTACAGTAGAAAACCCTGCCTAGACCTTCCCCATCTTTCTTTCAATACAAAGTCCTTAAACTGCTGGGAGAAGGGCAACAAACCGATGAATCTCATTAGAGCTTTGGTGAAAACCCACTGCAGAAAAAAAAATGTTCTCCAGCTTTTCAAGGGATAAGGGGAAATAGGTATACAGGGATGAGGGCCAGAAGGACAGCTAGTGGCAAGACAGAATCACAGGGAAGACCTCACCCACAAGACCCAGGCCACCCAGTCTGACAAGACTGAGGCTAAGCCCGAACAAAGAACATCCACTTACCAAAAGACTAATGAGTGTCCAGTAGAAATTAATATGACCTACTGCTAGGACAGAGGATCAAGAGCTGGGAGAGAAACTTATTCACTAGAGACACAGAGAGAGGTAGGGACATAAGCAGGCTCCATGCCAAGAGCTGGATGTGGGACTCGATCCAGAAACCCTGGAATCAGGCCCTGGGCCAAAGGCAGGCGCTCAACCGCTGAGCCACTCAGGTGTCCCCTAAGAGCTAGGAGAGAAACTTGAACCGAAGGTAAGCACAAAGACCTAAAACTATAGGCAATGAGAAAAAGCCCTCTGGCCAACCAGGCAGCCTGTATTCTAAATACAATGTAACTCTAAAGGATTTAAAGCTTATAGTGCACTGAAGTAACCAGAACAACAACAAATCCCAAATCTCAACTTCTAACTAGATTAACTCAATATACCACACTAAATGCCTACCAGAAAGACCCACACATTTCCAGGTACAATCAAACAGGTGCTTTTGTTACTCCTGCACTTGATCCAACTGGATGAAAGCTCAAAGGAGAGTCTAGAATGATGGGAAAATGTGACATTATGGTTTCTGGAATGGGACACACAGATTTTAATAACAGAGAGTCAAAAACTCTGGCATCTAGGGAAAGATGCCTAGAACCTGGGGAGAAGTCCCTAAACCAGGGAAAGGAACTCCTTATAACTATTCCAGAAGCCCTCCCCACCCCTCACTCCAAAGGAAAAGGCACTAGAACTGCTCTCACAAACTACAAGGGGCTCTGAAAGTTAACTAACTGCACCACACCCACCCCCAACCAGATGGCTCTAACCATGAGCCAAGCAGGGCATGGCCCAGCTCCTGTACCTTCCATGTAAGATACTTTCAAATGTTTCCACAATTTACAGAGTAAATGAAATGGCCAAGGCCAGATTTAACTGACTGCCCTCAAGTGGTCTCCCTGAAATACGGACTGAAAACAAGGACTGAACTGAAGTACTAGGACTGAACCAGGGGCCTTAAGGCTGCCAGACCATCAATCTGTGCTGCCTAACTCATCTATATCCTTTCTTGAGGGTCCTCAACAACTGTAAACTGTTTCCAAAGGGAGTATGTATGCCTTTAGTATGTGTGCTTCCTGTGTGAAAAGCAGAAATCAACCAAAAAACCTGTGATTTGCTCTTAGGGATAGTTAAAAGAAATATTCAAGTGTTTAAGGAAACACCCTGAGTTGATTATGTGGCCCTCAGGTATACACTAAGTAGGCAGTTTTACTCACAATAGAGTTATTCTATTAGAAAGGTAGTATAAATTTTGTTCTGGTCTTTAGCTGAAGCAAGCAAAGAAAAATGGAAGCTGAACTAAAGAATAAGCTTTGGAAGGATGACTAACAGTGAGAGATTTCCAGGGGGATTTAGGCCCCCAGAGACATGCTCTCTCAGATGGAGGAGAACTAGAGACATTCCTTTACACTGTAAATGACGTATTTACATTCAGGAGATGAGGCTTCTCTCCATCTCTCAGGAGGGGAGGGTGAAACTGGAGAGGTATCTTATATAAACTCCCAGATTCATAATTTCAAGGTTCCTTTTCTATAGTGCAAGAAATCCCCCCTACACACATGGGAAGACTTTTGATCCTCACTGTATTGCCTTGAAGGAGGAGATGGGGGATAGAAAACTGATGCAGTCATTGCTGACAGTAAAAATAATAGTTGGCCTATACTCCAGAAACTTCATGTTAGCTTTCAGGATAAAACTGAATTAATATTAGATATTAAAAATGTATCATCTCCACTCTAAGAGTGGAGTTTTTCTAAAGTCAGTGCCTCTCAGATGGGATACAAATGCTTTTGTGCACAGTATGAACCTAAACTTTTTGTCTCCTTCTGACCAACCAAATCTACTGAACTGCAGCACCCCAACCCAGAGGTTGGATTATACACTGTTGCTTGAGAACTATTTGACCACTTGACATTTACCCAAATAAATACCTATGTTTACATAAAAAAATTGTACATTAAAGTTTATAGCTTCTTTATTCATCATTATAAAAAACTGGGAAAAATCCAAATGCTGATACACTGAGGAATGAAGAAATGGACTGTGATGGAATTCTAGTCACCAATAAAAAGGAATAGTACTGACCAACATAACAGCCTGGAAGAGTCTCAAATGCATCATACTAAGTGAAAGAAGCCAGACTCAAAAGGCTTCATAGTGTAGGATTCCACTCACATGGTGTTCTTACAAGGCAAAAGCATACGGTCAGAAAATTGGTAAAAAGTGTTTGCCAGAGCCCAGGTGGCTCAGCGGTTTAACACTTGCCTTCAGCCCATGTCAGGCTCCCTGCATGGAGCCTGCTTCTCCCTCTGCCTGCGTCTCTGCCTCTCTCTCTCTCTTTCTCTCTGTGTGTCTCTCATGAATAAATAAAGAAAAATCTTAAAAAAAAAAAAAAGTGTTTGCCAGAGGTTGGGGGGTAGGGGGCCATGGGCTGTTCTACAGCCTAATTATGTTTGTGGTTATATGTTCTTATACATATGCCACATCTTACAGAATTGTACACTAAAAACAGTGAATTAAGCAGTAAAATGCATTTAACAAAATTCAAGAAACACAAATAAGAGGTATCTGCAGGTTAAAAAAAAGGATATGTAATTCAAATTAAGATCTGTAAAATAAGAGACTCACTCAGATATATGAAAGGACAGAAATCATATACTTTGACATAACATTTTTTAAAAAAATGAGGATTGTTCATGAAAATGTGATAATCATGAGAAATAAGTAAAAGGTATCTCCTAGTTTTAACCCTACTGAATACTAACATGTTCACTTACAGCTAAAAGGAATTATTGCAATAAAAGGACTAAAACTGAAAAATATTTCACTAATATAAGTAGGAACAAAAATTTAAAAAAACAAAAATAGGAAAATACAGTTAGTAGACTGCATAATCAGGAGAAAAGTAAGAAATTAGCAAACAACTGCATTATTTAAATGCCTCTATATCAAGCACACAAACTAAAACTGCTACAATAGTACAACTCAGTAATAACTTGTATTAATGATTTGTTAGAAAGAAAACTGCATCACAGCACTTTATTAATAAAGTATATAGGAAACATCACACTAAACAGCCAAATGCAAAATAACTTTGACAATGCTAAGAAGTAGCTGATAAGGGGATCCCTGGGTGGCGCAGCGGTTTGGCGCCTGCCTTTGGCCCAGGGCGCGATCCTGGAGACCCGGGATCAAATCCCACATCGGGCTCCCGGTGCATGGAGCCTGCTTCTCCCTCTGCCTCTGTGTGTCTCTGCCTCTCTCTCTCTCTCTCTGTGACTATCATAAATAAATAAAAATTAAAAAAAAAAAAGAAGTAGCTGATAAGACTTTAAATGCAATGAGGTAGAAAATCAACTGTAATCCCTAAAACTGTATTTCATATAAAAGAAAACACCGCGGAAAAGGAGAATAAACAGAAGAATAAAATATGTAACAAATGTCTAAATGAAGAATATTGATTAGAAAGGTAAAACTAGGGGATTCCTGCATGGCTCAGTGGTTTAGTGCCTGCCTTTGGCTCAGAGAGTGATTCTGGAGTCCTTCCTGGGATTGAGTCCCACATCAGGCTCCCTGCGTGGAGCCTGCTTCTCCCTCTGCCTGTGTCTCTGCCTCTGCCTCTCTCTCTCTCTCTCTCTCTCTCTCTGCGTTTCTCATGAATGAAAAAATAAATTCTTTAAAAAAGAAAAGAAAATAAAAACTGAAATGTAGCAATATTCTCTTTCTTTCACTATCAGACCCATTTCACTAATAAAGCCCCCACCTCCCTCCTGTTACATTCTCTCCTTAGTCCCTAACTTAGGTACAACAACTAAAATGAAAATTTCACTATCTATAACAGAATATTGGATATGGCAGAAAAAAACATTCAATGAACTTGAAGGCAGATCAATAGAAATTAATTGGAAAATTTCACTCAGCCAAAAACCAAAATAAAATTGAAGAAAATGGAACAATACCTCAGAGACCTATGGGACAGTATCAAAAAGCTTAACATACAAATATACATGTAACTGATATCCTGAAAGGAGAAAAGAATAATCATGTGGTAGAAAAAAAAAATTCCAAGAAACACATCCAATAATTTCCTTAATTTGATGAAAAACATTGACTCACAGATACAAGAAGCTCAGTTATATACATAAGGAAAAATTCAAAGAAAAGTCATACACAGGCACAGGACAGTCCAGTCCAGTAATTGATAGAACAAGGAGAAATAAAATCAGTACGAACACAGAAGACCTGAAAACACAATCATACAAGTTTAAACCATTAACACTGACAGACCACCAGATCTGACAGTTACTTAAAACACATTTCTGTCAAGTACACATGGAAGGTTCAGGAAAGGAAACCACATGGTGACCTATTAAGTCCTAATAAATCTCAAAAAAAACTGCAATCTTGCAGAAATCACAAATCAGTAACAATAACATATTTAGACATATCCCTGTTATTAACTCTCCCCAATGTTGTTAATTCTTTAATCTTACATTTAAATGCATCCCTTCTCTTCATTCCTTTACAACAAATGTATTCTTTTATTATAAAATGGAATATTTTTAAAAATCACAATTACTTTTGTTATTGATAGTTTACAGCAATTGTATTTACCTTCGCCACTCATTATTAATAGCCTCATGTAAATTTTTAGGACTGTGGTCAAGTTTGAAAAATTCCTATTAAGTTTCTTTCTTTATATATAAGATACAAGATTTGTAACAATTGTCCTTGAAGTAGCTTCAGATTTCTAGTTTTAGTACCTATTTTCATCCACTAAGTATATATACCCCATGCTTGGTGTTGACAGTATGTATTCATGCCCTGGTACAACTTTTGACTCCATACTTTTCTTCCATGCTACCCAGTGAGTTGGAATGTCCCTGCAAACACTTCTACAGAACTGGCATTTCCCAGCTATAAATGGCAGTAACTGCGAATCACACAAATATATCCCACTAAACCTGTTGTACAAGTCAACTACCCCTTAACTACATATTGCAAAAATGTTCTCAGCCATTCCAATGCCACTTGATGAGACAGGAAATGTGATGGAGGGGGGATGTTAAAATGGAAAGAGACAGCAATCTTTAACCATGTTAGGTTAAAACATCCCACTTGTGTAAATTTTACAAATATGAAAATGTAAATTCATTTCTAAAACTCCGAACATGGTCTTAGGCTTGGTCAAGTAAAGTCTTTGAAGCTTGAGTTTCACTAACTGCAAAATAATTCTATCTTTGGTCAATGAGATTATGGTACATTATTTTCACTGAAAACTATGACACTAGGTAAATTCCTTGTCCAAAAACATGTTGTTAATGATAGCAATATCTTTACCACAATAACCAGCATTTACTGAAGGCTTAAAATTCATTAAGTAAGTGCTTTACATTTAATCTTCATTGCATTGCATTTTTATGAAGTAGGTTCTATTATAATTCCTAGCTTATAAACGAAAAAAACAAGGCATAGGCAGGTAAAATCACTTCCCCAATCACATAGCTAGTAAATGGTGGATCTGTGCTTCAATCCAGCCAGCCTGTCTCCAGGGCTTTCATTCCTTTTCAGGATGCTAAACTGCTATTGAAGAAAGTTTGTGACCATGGCCTGTGATTTTGAGTTTAAGTGTACTGGGGAAAGGGGGACAGAGTGAGAGCAGAGTAGAAGAAAGGAAATGCAGATTAAATTTAAAAAAACTGAATTTATTTCACTTTAGTGCAGTAGTTGTGAAATTGATTTTAGGTAGTATAAAAGTCAGTCACTGTTAACCAAATGCAAAACTGACTAGGCTAAAATTAAAAACCTTCTACTCCTATTTCAGGACTATGACTTCCATAATCAAAATATCAAAATGCCACAACATACTCCTTGAAAAACATTTTTTCTCACCCAACATTCAATCCTCAAACCACTAAAAAAAGTCGACCCAGCAACCCCAGTCTTTCCAAGTGACCAATACTTTCTTGGTTATTAAATCTAACATAATTTTTCAGACCTTAGACTGGGTATCTAGCAGCAACATAATGCTTTGGTTAAGAGCCAAGCCAATGAAAATTCAAATGACAGCTCAGCCACTACAAGTAAAAGAGAGAACATATGTAAAGCACTTAGGAGAGTGCTTACCAAAGAGCAACTTATGTAAGAGTTACTGATACTACTCCTTGAAACTTACCTTACTAAATATACTAAAGGCACCACTCTCTCCTGTTTTTTCTCCTACACCTCTGGATCATCTATCTCTTATTCATGCTACCTTCTTGACATCCTTCAACAAATCTCATTTTATTCTTTGGCCCAAATGTCCCTGAGTAGGAACTCTTTTGACTTACAGAAACCCAAATCTATTTGCCTATGGGACACTGGCACCTGGATCCCTCCAAAAACCTCTGTAAGATATCCAAAACAGAACTCATCATCTTTCTTCCTAAACACATGCTTATTATCTTCCCAGGGTTGTTGGGACTTAAAAACATGTACATTTCCTGAACTCTTTACCTCTTTAATCTAATTGTTTTCCAAGACCTGCTGCTTCTTATATTCTATCAGTTCCAAGCAGAATGTCTAGATTCTAACACCAGGTCAACTACTTATTAACTGTATCTCAGGCCACTTAACCTTTTGGAAATGCAGTATCCTCACAGTCAAAGAACAACAGGGGGATCCCTGGGTGGCGCAGCAGTTTAGCGCCTGCCTTTGGCCCAGGGCGCGATCCTGGAGACCCGGGATCGAATCCCACGTTGGGCTCCTGGTGCATGGAGCCTGCTTCTCCCTCTGCCTGTGTCTCTGCTTCTCTCTCTCTCTCTCTCTCTCTGTGTGACTATCATAATCATATGTATTTTACCTAATAAAATCATATATCTTTTTTTACCTAATTAAATCATATATCTTTTACCTAATTAAACATACTTCCTCTAATCTTGCCCTTTCTGATATATTCTTCACCCAGAAGGCAGAGTAATTTGAACACAGAGTGAATCATGTCTTCATCCTGCTTAAAATCTATGAAGGGTCTCCCGTAGTGTTTAGGATAACATCCAAATTCTTCAACATGCACATGAGGATTGCTTATACCCAAATTGGAAGGTATAATCTTAGTTCTCTTTCAAGTTCCAGCTCCACTTTCCTGACCTAACTAGTCAGAACCAAAGGTTCTCTCCACTTTCCTAACTAGTCAGAACCAAAGTGTTCACATACCACAATTCTAAAACCAATTCATTAATTATAATTAGAGAAGGTAACCTGTCCACCTAAAAGAATTCAGTCCCCTTTAGCTCAAGGACCGTATTATCTTTGTACCCTCAAAACTTACTACAGTGTATCACAAAAGAATCCAATGTTTGCTAAATGAATGCTAAATAAGAATAACAGCATCAAAATAGTCACAAACGTGGCAGCCGGGATGGCTCAGCCGTTTAGGGCCACCTTCAGCCCAGGGCCTGATCCTGGAGACCTCGGATCGAGTCCCACGCCAGGCTCCCTGCATGGAGCCTGCTTCTCCCTCTGCCTCTCTCTCTCTCTCATGAATAAATAAATAAAAAATCTTAAAAAAATAGTCACAAACATTATGACACATGTAAAACTATACCTAAAACAACTCCTACAAATAAGCTCAACCTAAAAAGTAAGCATTTCTTTTGGAGGAAAAAAAAAGCATTCGGAGTTATGAAAATTCTTACCTGGATGTATTTCTTGCTATAATCACAACCTGGTTGTAGAGACCTGAAATCTACTTTGTTTAATTCACCTAGCAGCTCAACCTCAGGTACTCCATTCACTTCTTTTATTAATTCAAGTGGCATATCAGATCTGCTTCAAAATATTGTCGAAAGCAAATTCACTTAGGAAGTTGACAGCCTGCTGCTGAAAACACAAAGACCAGTGTTTTACCCAAAGTGTAGTCAATAATCTTAAGCTTTTTTTTACTTTGTTTTGCTTTTCCTTTCCTTTAAATTCATTAGTAACCCCCGTTGGGGTGGAGTGGATTATTCTACAATTTTATTATAAGGATCAATACACGTATTTCCCCTAAGACATCGAAACTCAGGCCTTTTCTATTTAGTTTCTTTTTAAAGAAGTCCCTCTGAACGCCAGTTTTAGAATCTGTGAAAACTACACTAACAATGTCTTTTTACCAAAACCGTGCTTTAAAGTGTACAAGTTACTGGGGAAGGGAAGGGGGACAGAAACGGAGAGGCTTTCTTTGTTAATCTCTTTGGCAGTCGTAATATTGTGTACTCAAACTGGGCACCAGAAGCTTATTACTCCAAAATATACCCGTGGCCTCCTCCCTGCAGCCTCTATACAATCGAAAGGTCTACTGAACTGATCCGAACCTGTGCTCTGCAGGTTCAGTCTTACTTCTCAAACCTTTTGGGCGGGACACGCACCAGTGTCGAAATTAAAATTTAATGTGTGCGCACCAACCTTCCGCAAGACAGCGGAGCTCCACGAGGGCGGGGACTTGGACTAACTCAAGTCAGCTGCTCCCAAAGCACCAAGCAAGGCACTGAACACGGCAGGCTCACGCCAAAGACAGGGTCTTTCTGCAATCACTACACATTTTGCTCTAAGCTAAACCAGTCTCCTTTATCATACCCGTTCACGACCCGAATCACTTTGCGCCCCTGCAACGAAGTCCAAACCGACTTAGAGATTCACTTACCCCCGCTCTAGAGAAAAACAAGGAAGTTTGGAAGGGCGCGCCCGTGACGTCACACGCACGCTGGCGGCCCAGGCCCCGCGCATGCGTACACGGTCTCCAGGGCTAAATTTACCGCTCCCGGGCCCGCGGGGGGCGAACTGCGTGCTGATTCCTAGGCCTCAGGTAACCTGGAAATTCCACGCTGTGCGGAGATGGTGCAGGCCAGGAGCAGGACCCGGCCGCGGCCCGGCAGCCGCTCGGAACCTGCGCCGCTCCCCTTAGCCCCGCCTCCTGTCGATCTCCCGCGGTCCCGGCCGTAGCGGCGGCCCGGGAAGCTGGGACCGTCCGCTGGGAGGTTCATAAATCCTGCAACCGGTAAAAAGCCGTTTTTGAAAACCCCGGCGGAATTTGAGATTAGAAACGCCTGTGGGCAGGGCACTTCCGGTAACTCCGGGTTTTCTGCCTCCGAAGCAATCACCCCAACAACGATTTTCCAAAGAAATGATTCCATCAATGAGTAATGCTATTTTTAGATAGGTTGGCTTAGCCCCGTTGGTCTACAGGGCTATGGCTTCGGGGTGTAATTAATAAGACGTATTAGTAAATGCATCTTTGGCTAATTTCTGTTTCTGATCATTTGACGGAGGTGAAACCACCTCAATGCAAAGACAGGATGTAATGATTACATAAAGATTTCCAAGGCTAATTTGGACTAAAATATCTGCTGTGGATACTTATTTGCAGGAGGAAATAGCTATGTTTGATGTAACTACTTTTTTTTTTTTTTTTTTTTTTTTTTAGCAGGAAGCATTCTGTTACCCGCCTTCTCTTTCCCCTCACACCTCTGTATTCACAGGCCATGCACAAACCAGCGGGGACCAGAGGCGAGCTGAGCTGAGCTGAGCTGCCCACGCAAGGAAACAATCCCAAGTAGGGCTTAGATCCTCTTGTTCTTTACCCTGGCCTCGCCCGACCCAGAAATACTAGCCTTCTCCCTAAGTGAAGTCCGCGTTGGCTCTGGATTCTGGCCACTTTCATTTCCCCACCTATCATTAGTATCTTCTCTCACCATATTTTCAGCTTCTCTTTATACTTTCCCATTGGTATTTATTTATTTTTTTTAATTTTTTTAAATTTTTATTTATTTATGATAGTCACACAGAGAGAGAGAGGCAGAGACACAGGCAGAGGGAGAAGCAGGCTCCATGCACCGGGAGCCTGATGTGGGATTCGATCCCGGGTCTCCAGGATCGCGCCCTGGGCCAAAGGCAGGCGCCAAACCGCTGTGCCACCCAGGGATCCCTCCCATTGGTATTTAAATGTTTCTTCCACAGCCTAAGCTTATTAAGGGCAGGAAGAACTGTTTACTGCTAAATGCTTAGAGCCTGCGCAGTGGCAGGCAAACTGCAGGAGCTAGTAGGAGCTATGTATTTGTTGAATGAATAAATGCTCAGGAGAATATGTTCCTCTTTGCTCACCTTTGGCTTCCACCTCTCCATCTTGGCGCCATCCCCACACCATTAATACACTGAAACTGCCTTTACCAAGATCACTGAAGACCTCTTTGTTGCTAAGCCAAAAGGGCACTCTTCACTCTCTTTACTATTTCTTACTCATTTTTCTAAAACGCATTTTCATTTTGTTGCCACGTGTTTAGTTTGCTTCTTTTCCTATATCAACGGAATCTTTTAAAGTTTTTCTCCTCCTCTAGTTAGGCTATAAATGTCCATATTCTATTCTGATGAAGATACTGTAACTGCTCTTTTGGTTGTGATTTTCTCAGTTTCTCGACAACCTAAATGCTTCATGTACATCCAGGTAACTTCCAATCTTGTTTCTCGCTCACTATTTCCCACCTAGTGGCAGAGCTGGGTGGATGCCTATGACTCCAGAGCTGATACTGCTTTCTCTCACATTAGTAACTAGTTGTTCTATAAACAAAGAAAATTGAATGCGATTATCCGATACAACTTAAGTTCAATCAGAGGAAAAAGAGTGGATCAACTAGATAAGGCCCTGAAGTCATATATTAAAACAATTATTACTGTTTTTCTGTGTGTTGCATTAAAACAGCATAAAAAGCTCCAAGACTGAAAAAATAAAATCCAAGACTAATAATGTATTATCTATTACAAGATGCCATTTTTTAAAGTGCAGTGAAGAAATTTTTTATACAAAAACTACTGTTAACTTGAAAATAAGAACCACAGTGAGAGGCAAATAAGTATTTTATTTGGGGATCAAAGAATTGCAATTCACAGAGCACAGAACCAGGTAGAAACTCAAAAAGTGTCCAGTTTGTAGGGTGAAAGCAAGGGTTTTGATGAGGAAATGAAAGGGAGCCCATTACATGAGTTGAAAAGGGGAAAAAATGTTTTCTGTAGGTGTTAACAAGTTATTCTAGGTTATACATTGATTGACTACCAATTCTATCTTCAGGAAAGTTCAGGTCTTGTAATCAGGATATCTGTCCTCAAGCAGTTGCTTAGAACAATTGCTGTTTTGCCCAGTCCAAAGTTTATGGCCCAGTTCAAAGACAGATAAAGCAGTTTCTCTGCAGTAGCCACTCTGGCTCTATTTCAAAATGGCTACAGTCATGTCAGTTTTTCATACTACAATATGAAATCCTCGATTTTTAAAAAGTTAAAATGACAGTCTCATTAGTAAAAAGTGGGTATTTTTATTAATAAAAGCATATACATAAAGATATGCTGCTGTTTATAAGTAATTGTGCAGAGATAAAAGGAATTAAACTGCAAATGTCTGGGACTTCTGTAATGGAGACCAAACTCCTGTTCACCACACAGTAGGCCAATAAGTTGAGAGGCAAGATGTTGGGGTAAGGAAAGCAACTTTATTTGGAAAGCCAGCAAACAGAGGAGATGTTGGACTGTGATCCCAAACAGCCATCTCCCCTGGCATGAAATTCAGACTTCTTTTGTGTTAGCAAAAGGAGAAAGTAGGGAAGGAATTTGGAGTCAAAAGGTAACGGACCTCTGTAGACATCCCAGGAAGGTTGTGTAACTTCTGTCTTTGGTCTCTTGATCTTTGCATACAGGAATCTCATGATGCCATTTCTTAAACATAGCATAGTCATTTCTATTACGTTTCCTTATCTCCTTGGATGAGGTAGATTTGGGGTAAAAAGCAGTTTTTACAAATCTTAGCTGTAACATGCCCATATGCAGGGCTAAGCAGAAATTCTCAGCTTTAGGTCACAGCAGCAAAAGAAACAGAAGCACTATGGAGTCAGATATGCTAAGTTTCTCTCTGATACACTTCTCTCTTGTTAGCATTTTCACATTGCTCTTTACTATTTAGTTTTTAACCGGAAACTTTGAATTGAATTTCCTGGACACCCAGCACTTCAAATTTATTTTCTTGGCAATAATTGCTGCATCATTAACCTCTTCCTATTGCGATTTACTGTCTTTCTCCAAGCTGTTGTCAGCATGTTGCATCCCTATAGTTTGACAATATCATCTTCTATTGTTTTCTGAGATTCCGTAGCAGATTTCCTAGCTAGGCTACACTGGTTAGAGTTCATTTCCTTGTAATCTAAGAGCATTTTGGTCCAATCCTATTGAATGTCTAGATCAATTTATAAAATCCTATTTCAATGAAGCATCAAATTTTTATAGTTATATATTTGAAACAAGATAATTCAAACACAAATTTATAGCAAATTTATGTTTAAATTATAAATTTGAATGATGAGGTTTGTAATCACTTAGTGCATATTAGGAAGGTAGCATAACAGGGAATTCAAGTGTGCAAAGCAAGGTCTGAACTAAGCAAGAAGGGCCAAGATTTTCACATGAAGAGGAAAGGGTCATTCATCTGTTTTGGATCATGCCATGTGGCATCTAGTGACTTATAGTACATAAAAGGGTTAAGATAGGCTGACTCAACAGGGATAGCCTTCTGTTGAGTTATACCAATGATATATGTTGACTTGGAAAAAAAACCCTGCATTTACAAAAATTAACATAAGTATTAATTGAGAAAAAGATTCTCTGAGAAGCAGGCTTATAGAATAAAACCAAGACTTGCAGGTGCCAATGTAGGGGAAGAATGATGTTGCCTAAGAATATGGTTGGTTCTTCAGGTTTCTCTGTAGAGGTGGGAAAGGAAATGAAGAGAAGCTATCAAAAAGCTAGAAGGTGTGTATTCTCTGATGCTTGTTCTGTCTTCCATTCACCGTTTCAAAAAAAAAAAAGAAATAAAAGAAAACAGTCTTTACTAAAGTTCCTGAGCTCACAGTAAGGAAGCAAGGAACTTGGTTTATGTTGAGATTGATTCAAGTATAATTGAGACAGAACACACAGAAGGGAGATGAAGAAAAATAAGAGGAAAAGACCTGCTGGAAATTAACAGACATGAGGATAAATAAGATCTTTCAACTTCTTAACACTGTAAAAGTAGGGGTCTATCTCTAGAGTTTAGAGTACCTATTTTATACATACCCTTTATTTTATACCACGAGGATATGTCCTGGAAAATCCTGCAATAACACTCACATGTAGAACCTTATTTCTATGTAATCTTAGAATAAAAAATTGCATTGATGACTTGTTCATTTTGGAAAGTCAGTGGTCTTAAAGTTGGAAAGCACCATAGCAGGTAGATACTTATTAGCCTGATATTTTTCTCTTTTTTGAGTGACCCAAAATAGGCACACTTTTAAAACCTTTTTAACGAAACATTTTAAGTAATGGAAAATTGATAAGGATGTTGCCTGTTTTTTAAATTCATCATGGTTATTTGAAATAATTGAGAACCATTTGCTTTAGATTCAAAATGCATTTTTAGCACAAAAAGACATTTTGTAACTTTGTCAGATCCCCTATTAAATAGAATCTGCACTTATTCATTACACTCATACATTTTTTTCAGGAATGGAAAAGTCAACATCACAGAGTTCTCTTGATA